GCTCAAGATCAGGTGGAGCCGTCATCTATAGCTCGGTCCAGGCCCAGGAGAACCATCAAACCACCTCAAAGGTTTGGATGGGACACGGACTCAGTTCACTATGCCCTAAATGCAAGTGAAGAAGAACCAACCACGTTCCAAGAAGCTGTTGAGAATGAAGAGCGGGAAGGTTGGATGGAAGCTATGATGCAAGAGATGGAATCTCTACACCGAAACTCAGTTTGGGAGTTAGTTCCTAAACCCAAAAATCGCAAGGTTATTGGCTGCAAATGGGTGTTTAGGAAGAAAGAAGAAAAGCATGAGAAGGTAGCCACCATGTTCAAAGCTAGATTGGTGGCCAAAGGATACTTGCAAAAGGAGGGAGTTGATTATGATGAAATCTTCTCACCGGTGGTGAAACATACTTCTATACGGCTGCTACTCTCCATAGTAGCTCAAGAGAACATAGAGGTGGAGCAAATGGATGTGAAGACTGCTTTCCTCCATGGAGACTTGGAGGAAGACATCTACATGAGCCAACCTCAAGGGTTCATTGAAGCAAACAAGGAAAATCTGGTTTGCAGGTTGAAGAAGTCTTTATACGGGCTGAAGCAATCTCCAAGGCAGTGGAATAAGTGCTTCGATTCTTTCATGATGAAGATTGGATATAGAAGATGTGAATCAGATTGCTGTGTATATAGTCATGCATTTAAGGATGGTAACTTCATCCTTTTACTTCTTTATGTTGATGACATGCTAATTGCATGTAAAGATATGTCAAAAATCCAGGAATTGAAGACATTGCTTGGAAGGGAGTTTGACATGAAGGATCTTGGCTCTGCACAAAAGATCCTAGGAATGGAGATAAGGAGAGACAGAAACGCAGGCAAGCTATGGCTATCACAAAGTAAGTACATTTCCAAAGTACTTGAAAAATTCAATATGATGGATTGCAAGCCTGTGTCTACTCCTTTGGCGGAGCATTTCAAATTAAGTGCGCAGGAATGTCCTTCTACGGATGATGAGAAGGAAGAAATGAGCAAAGTTCCATATGCAAGCTTGGTAGGGTGTCTCATGTATGCAATGGTTTGCACACGCCCCGACTTAGCTCAAGCCGTAAGTGTGGTGTCAAGATACATGGCGAATCCGGGTAGACTTCATTGGACAGCAGCGAAGTGGATTCTCAGGTACTTGAAGGGCTCAAGGAGGCTTGGGATATTGTTTGAAAAACAACAAGGTAATGCATGTGTTTCAGGGTATGTAGATTCTGACTATGCAGGGGATTTAGACAAGAGGAGATCCACCACGGGATATGTCTTCATTTGTGGTGGAGGACCGATTAGTTGGAGAGCGGTGTTGCAATCGGTTAGTGCCTTGTCTACTACAGAGGCGGAGTATATGGCGCTCACGGAAGCTTCGAAGGAAGCGGTGTGGCTGAAAAGATTGGCTAAGGAATTCGGGATAGCCCAAAACTTGGTGGTGATACAAAGTGATAGTCAAAGTGCAATCTACCTAGTGAAGAATCAAGTATTTCATGGAAGATCTAAGCACATTGATGTCCGATACCACCGGATAAGGGATTGGGTGAAAGATGGAGACGTCATGATAGAGAAGGTTCATACAACGGAGAACCCTTCAGATTGTCTAACAAAGCCAGTCACAACATCAAAGTTCAAGCATTGTTTGGGCTTGCTCAATCTTGTTCCATGCTAAAGATTGAGGTGGAGTTCTTGAGAGTTATCCGGACGATTCTCAAGAAAGCAAAGATGTCCTGGAAAACCAATGATGTCCACAAGGAGTTTTAATCTCGCCATGGTGGAGATTGTTGAAGAAAAAAAATGGCTCAATTAAAAGATACAAAAATGAAGACAAGCGACCGGTCGCAGGTTATGGGCGACCGGTCGGTTTTAGGCAGATTGCAAAGTCTAAATTGGTTTTCAACTCTGTGCCAAAGCAACCGGTCGCAAGGTATCTGCGACCGGTCGTAAGGTATCCGCGACCGGTCGCAAGGTATCCGCGACCGGTCGCCCCGACTTTGCTGTTTCAGTTTTCTACGCGTTTTCAAGTCTTCCTTTGTGTGCTATCACTTTCTATCGACTTGCAAGGATATTTCTGATCAATTCTGAGATATTAGAAGGTGGCAAGCAGCTGGAAAGATGGGGAGAACACTTTGGCAAATTGATGACTTGCTTCAATGAGTGAATACTCTCTTGGTTCAAGAGATATATGGCAGCTATCATCCATTGTTCCCTTGCTTTGTGAGCTGCCAAGAACAGGTGTCTAAAGTTATATAACTAAAGCAAGAACGTGCAGAACTTAATGATACCTTATCTTGGAGTCCAAAGGCCTATATAAGAGGGAAGAGGAAGCAAGAGAACATTAAGTTGTGAAGAGCATAATTTTGTGCAAAGTATAGAGAGTTGTAGAGAAGCTGGAAACTTATAAGTTCAGAAAATACCAAGGGGAGAGTAAGAGAGTTCTCTAAGTGTATCAAGTTGTTGAGCAAGGGTGAGAGAGAAACAGATTGTGAGGGTAGATTTCTAAGGGGGTTTCCTTCTTTGTAAACCAAAGTTGTAATCTATCTTCATTAGTGAAAGTTCTCAAGGAGATCACCAAAGAGGAAGTAGGCATTTGGCTGAACCTCTATAAACACTTGTGTCATTTCTATTTGGTTAAATTTCTGTGTGTGTGTAAGACTCATCCATCATAGAGTTTGTCACAAAGTTCATCAACAACAAGGTCCTAAGGGGAAGTGAGTTAGTCTTAATTCACAACACATATGAGGTAAGATTCCTGGATCCATCATTATGTGTATAAATACTCGAATTACTAAGGGTTGCAAACTCATGCACATGTCCAATTTCTTATGTTGTAAACTGACCGAAAAAAACTAAAGAAGTATGAATTCAATATTATTGTTATTTTATCTGTTTATGAGTATTCAAACTTGAAACACATTCACACATTTGGAAAAACAAAAACCACCCAACAAATCAAGAACTAATTGCTGATATCATTCACTTTCAATAAACCATACAAGGAGTGCAAATGATGAAATATTAAAGATGCATTATTAGAACAAGTAACTTTATATGCTATAGGCTTAAACAAGTTAACAAACTTGTAAACTACAGACAGCCAGGAAGCTAACCCTTACTCTGTTTTGTTACAAGAAAGTTTATAGTTAAAAAAGATCCAATCTAATAAAACAGCTCACAGCTTCCTCACTAGGAGATCAACTCCATTCTCTGGCTCCACAACCAATCTAAGAGCAGGTCCATATTTGTAATTGGGAGAAAGTGAGAAGGAGAAGTTGGAGACTATGAGGGCTAGGAGAACCTTGAGCTCAACCATGGCCAAGTTCTGTCCAAGACACACTCTTGGCCCAACCCCAAATGGCATGTACAAGTGGGGAAGCTTGCAAGCACCTTTGACCCCATTTGCAAACCTATCTGGGTTGAACTTGTAGGCATCTGGACCCCATATTTCTGGATCAGTGTGCAGTGTCACCAACGTCGTCCAAATATTCACACCCCTTAGGAACATTTATGTCCCCAAATTTCATGTCCTTGTAAGCCTCCCTTGTCACAATAGCAACTGGTGAATATAGCCGCATTGATTCTTGAATCACCATTGTTAGCTACACACAGTCAACACTAGTTAAGTTTTTGTGGTAATTAACTGATATTAATACGTATGAAAGTACTTCTAAACATGAAAAATGCTATATCATCACATAATCTTCCACATATTTGTTGTGAATTGGCTCGCCATTGGGTGTCCTGATTGAAGAGCATCCTACCCATCAGCCAATGAATATGCAAGGCACTCCCCACAAGTCACGGCAGTCTGTAGCCATTCAAGTGTGATTGCTTCATTATCTCAATCAATCCCTATAATCTTGGAACTGCCTATTTTATGTTTTACCGTTTGTATAATTTACTCTGTTTATACTCATGTACAAAGTCAACTGTATAGCATATAAAAGAAATCCAATACAACCAGAATACTCATCGTGGGGTGTTCTTTCTATTCTACTTCTTATTCTTCTCTAAACCCTAGTTATTTCTCTACATGGTATCAGAGCCTCGCAGAGGCTAGCAACCCCTTTTCGATCCTAATGACAAACTCTTCCTCTCCTATAAACTCTTCTTCTGTCTCTCAGACTACTTTTCAAAATACCATGACCACCACACCATCTTCTATTCCAACTTCTTTCAATATCGCTCACTTGTTTACAACACCAATGGATCGTAATAATTTTCTCTGTTGGAAATCTCAGTTTGAAGATGTACTAGAATTACATGATCTGGAAGATGTGATTAAGACAGAAACCCATCCCCAGAAGAAAATTCCCGATGGTTCTCTCAATCCAGCCTATTCAAAAGACAAACTAGTCTTAAGTTGGATCAAGGCCACGGCTTCATCTTCTATTAAGACCCTTCTGATTCCATGTTCTACAGCATATGAGGCATGGACGCTGCTTGAGAAACGACTGTCACCCCTGTCCAAAACTTATATTCGTACCCTGCGAGATCAGATACGCACCCTCAAAAAGGATCCAGAAAAGTCAGTTGCTGATTATTTGATCCACGCCAAGTCTCTCTTTGATTCTGTCACTGCGGCTGGCACCTTAATTTCTGATGGGTAGCTTATTGATTATATACTCGATGGCCTAGGCCATGAATACAAAGAATTTACTACCTCCCTTCATCTTCTACCCTCTCTAACCTTTGATGAATTTTATGATTTGTTAATACAGGAAGAACAGTTGCTGAAGAGGATGTCTTCCCTCTCCTTATCACAAAGTGTAGCACTCACCTCTGATCGCAGTACCAATGATCAGGCCACTCAGAACCGAGCCCAAGGCACCACTCACCACACCCATTCTCAAACCCGGTCTCAAAACTTTGGAAGAGGACGAGGTCGAGGTCGCGGTTGGCATAATGGAAGAAATTCAGGTCGTTCTCCTAACTGGAATTCCAACTACCATAATGGCGGGACCTTCACTCGCAACAACGGCTGGCAAAATAGTCGTGATCACCGTCGTCCTCAATTTCTAACAGATACTAGATCATCAATGCCTTCACATGATGGACGTCCACCACTGCTCCCAACACCACCATATCAACCTCCTTTTCAGTTTCAAGAAACCTGTCAGATGTGCAACCGGCAAGGCCACACTTCACGTGTATGTCCTGATCGTGGTAATTACGCCTACATGGCAGAGTCCAACACCTCCAATATCCCTTCACCATCTGTTCCTACTAACACAAGTTGGTGTGTTGACTCCGGGGCAACCCATCATATGGTGTCCAGTCCTTCTCAACTCCCCTTTGTGAAGCCATATACAGGTAATGATTCCATTATTGTAGGTAATGGCACTCGTCTCTCAATAAGTCATATTGGTCAAACTAATATTGGTCCTTTGAAACTTACTAATGTTCTATGTGTTCCCGCTATCCGAAAGAATCTATTGTCTATACACCGTTTTTCTAAGGATAATAATTGCTATTTTGAGATGCATGCTAATGGTTTTCATGTAAAGGACAATATGACGGGGAGGACATTACTCACTGGCAGTAGCTCTGGCGACTTGTACCATATTCAAGCAAATCCTACAATCTCAGGGAAGCTAGTCTTTTATGGTGAAAGGACTACCCAAGATATTTGGCATACAAGACTTGGCCATCCGTCTCATGATGTTTTTCGTATTTTACTTAATAAATTTCACTTGCCTGTTAGTGGTAAGGTTGATTCTCATAAGGCTTGTCATATTTGCCCTTTGGGAAAATCATGTAGACTTCCCTTTTCCAATCGTACTTTTTATGCTCATGAACCCCTTAACACCTCCAATATCCCTTCACCATCTATTCCTACTAACACAAGTTGGTGTGTTGACTCCGGGGCAACCCATCATATGGTGTCGAGTCCTTCTCAACTCCCCTTTGTGAAGCCATATACAGGTAATGATTCCATTATTGTAGGTAATGGCACTCGTCTCTCAATAAGTCATATTGGTCAAACTAATATTGGTCCTTTGAAACTTACTAATGTTCTATGTGTTCCCGCTATCCGAAAGAATCTATTGTCTATACACCGTTTTTCTAAGGATAATAATTGCTATTTTGAGATGCATGCTAATGGTTTTCATGTAAAGGACAATATGACGGGGAGGACATTACTCACTGGCAGTAGCTCTGGCGACTTGTACCATATTCAAGCAGATCCTACAATCTCAGGGAAGCTAGTCTTTTATGGTGAAAGGACTACCCAAGATATTTGGCATACAAGACTTGGCCATCCGTCTCATGATGTTTTTCGTATTTTACTTAATAAATTTCACTTGCCTGTTAGTGGTAAGGTTGATTCTCATAAGGCTTGTCATATTTGCCCTTTGGGAAAATCATGTAGACTTCCCTTTTCCAATCGTACTTTTTATGCTCATGAACCCCTTGCAGTACTTCATCTAGATTTATGGGGACCAGCCCCAGTCTCCTCAAATTTTGGTTATCGTTATTATTTATCTATTGTTGATGAATACACTCGATTTGTGTGGTTTTATCCTTTAGCAAAGAAATCCGATGTGCTTACAACGTTTGTCTTCTTTAAAAGATTGGTGGAAAAACAACACAACCATTCTATTAAAACCATACAAATTGATGGTGGTGGGGAATTCACTAATCGTTTATTCCTTAATTTTCTTCATGAACACGGCATCACACATCACATTTCATGCCCTTACAAACCAGAGCAAAACAGAATTGTTGAGTGTAAGCATAGACATATTGTTGAAATGGGACTTTGCCTGTTGTCCCAATCACACTTACCTTCGAGTTTTTGGCTCGAAGCTTTTTCCACTGCTGTCTTTCTTATCAACAGGTTACCAAAGGGAGGCAATGAAGACAAAAGGACCCAAAAATGTCTGCATAAACGCTCTGGAACATCGCCTACCAAAAAAGAGTGGGAAAACTAGTGTTCCGGGTCAAAGCCACTACCAAAAAGTCTAATCATGTGCACAAACTTTAATTATGATACTGAGACTTCAAATCTATCCATAAGATATTTATATATATATACAGAACACTTATCAAATGTCCTTATAACTATAATCTTCTTCTGTTCTTTCAAACTCTTGCACTTGAGGCCATTCAATTAAATTTGTAAGATGGGAAGCTTCTTTTTACTAATTAACCGTTTTCTTCAAACCTTAATGATCATCGTCCTTCCTTGTTTCTTCACCAGTGTAATTTGCACAAATTTTGAAAGCCCATCACAATTATCTTCCTTACTCCCCCCATTACCTCCACTACCACTAATCCCCTTACCTCCAATTATCCCTGAGCTTTTGAACTTCACAGACCAAAGACTAGCTCTGGCGTACCCTATAATATACGCCTTCAAGAACACCATCACTTCAGACCCTCTAGGCATCACTCAAACCTGGGTTGGCTCGGATATATGCACCTACAAGGGCTTCTACTGTGATCGCCCACCAGACAATCAAAGCGCCATTGCTCTCGCCTCCATCGATTTCAATGGTTTCCAACTCAGTGCTCCCAGTATCGACGGCTTCATCGACCAACTTCCTGACCTTGCACTCTTCCATGCAAACTCTAACAAC